GGCCCACCGAACCTTCTCCACTTGCCCCTCCCCCTACTACCTACTCCCGCCACCCCTCTCTTTCGCTGCATTACACTCTTTCGTTATTTCAACTTTTTAACATCATCTCTCACCTTTCACTCGCACCTCCACCATCTTCGACCCACCTCCCCCCGCCCCTCCCCCTCCTCCACCAACCACCTCCACCACCTCTCTCTTTCACCGTAATACAACTTTTTAACATTCTCTCTCTCACCTCTCACTCGCAGCACTACCATCTTCGACCTACCAGATCTTAAAATATTAATTAAAATAAGAATCCGACTGCTGACTGGTACGACGAATATTTAAAAAGAGAAATTTTGAAAAATTATTTCATTTAATTGTGTAAAAAACTTTATTTAAAAAAATTTTTTTTAAATGAAGGTATAAAGAAAATCGATGAGTTAATATTAGACGGTTAGTGAAAACAATCTTGGGGATTGTTTTGATGTGGAAGGACGGATGCGCGCGAGTTTCATATCCCTCCCCTCACCCGGCTCACCGATAAACCGAGCAGTCACATCTTTTAATAACAATATATTTAAAAAATTATTATTTTAAATATATATATATATACACACTACACCGACTGCTGACCGATATGACGTATATTTGAAACTATCGCAGTACTATCACGAGTTAAATTGTAATAAGTATAGAAGAACTTTATTACCTTCAAGCATACAAAGCCAAAGAAGGGGGCTTGGTTTATAGTTTATCTACCTATCCTCACACATCCATCCATACTCTGCTCTCGTGCATATTTCCTTTTTATCCTAGTTTACTCAATTAGCCTTCATTCATCTATTATCATAATACGTTACAACCTTTTCTCTCTTATCTACTTAATTTATCAATTCCTCCTAGCAAAGTGCACAAAATTACCTCTCTAGTCATTGTTGTATTCCTAACTCGTTTCCTTGCTTCACAATTCTATCCTTTTCCATTCCTTATTCTATTTTATTCTATTCCTCGTAGCTACTCTTTCGCTTTTAAATCTGTACATGTGAAGTCTATATTCATATCTATTCATAATCCTATTCATTTCTATTCATAATCCTACGCCTCACTCTATCAATCAACTTATCTATGTATACCTTTTACTCACGCTTTCTTTATAAAACTTGACCTAACTACTTGCACAGAATTTTCTTTCTAGCCATTCCTGTATATTCCTGGCTCATTACCTTGCCTCACATTTCTATCCTTTTCAATTCTTGTTCCATTCCTCGCAGTTTTTCTTCCTCTTTTAAATCTGTAAATTTGGTGTTATCCTGTCTTAAGCATTTTCTTATACAGAAATTCTTCGTGTATCCTTGTCCCCATCTCGTCTTCCTCGCCATTTCTTGTTTTTTGTCCTCATTATTCGAACCTTTTTTAGAATGTCCCATAACTTGCCTCTTATTACTTGTACCTCTCTACCGCCTTACATCACGAAACGGCCTGTGAATTTTCCTAACTCCTATTACCGTTTTCCTTTTTTTTTTCTTTACGTCGAAAACCTTATTACAACGTTATTTTCCTGCGTTGCTGCCTCCTTAACCTCCTGAACCTCGTTTTCTAGTCCAATCCTTATGAATACATCCTCCTTTTCCTCTAACTATTCTCTTCTTACCTCTACCTTATACATTATATCGAACACAGAAGATATACTTTTTGCGATATAATCGTGATACCCTTATGCAATTCTTTCCATATTTCGAGGATCATGTTTTCTTCATCCTTTATAATCACATACTATTCCATTTTTGATCCTTCCCTGTACATTCTTGCCTTAAATTTTTGATATTGCCCGTACATTTCCTTTTCCTCTTCTCCTGGCTTTTCCTCTTCACCTTTTTCCTATCTGAAGTGATATCCTATTCTCCGCATCCTTGACCTCTGTAACCAGTTACTTTTGCCTAGGATCTGTCCTTCCTTTTCCCGCTTTTTCCGCCATACTAGTCGCGTCCCTCGGCAACATAACCTCCTTAGCCTGTTTACCTCTTACATTCCTAATTCCTTATCTTACACTTTACAAAACTCCTTTCCTACACATACCCTATACAATCTTATTTAAACCTTCACGTACACACCTTCTCTTTTACCTAAAACTGACCTATTTAATTATTATCGTACAAAACATCACAGTCCATCTCAACACACATACGCTCACATGCACGCCACCTAATCAAGTCCTAAACTGTAATATATTACCACGAAAATTAACTGATTAATTATTGAAGTTGCCAATACAAAGTGAACATACGTAAAGTGTATTCGATTGTCATGGGACATTTTGACTGCACGAGGAGCGGTGAGGGGGAAAATGCAACTTTTGGCTGATTTTCGAATCGCCTTCGTCTAAATTTCGAAGTTCCCCTCACCTCACCGCTCCGCGCGCACAACAATGCCATTCGACTGTAAAGCGGGGAGCACAGACTTTTGCATAACGCATAAAGCATGTGCATAATGAATTTCATTGGTCCATTGACTCATGCATAAGAAAATGGACCAATGAAATTCATTATGCACATGCTTTATGCGTTATGCAAAAGTCTGTGCTCCCCGCTTTATGGGGCATTTCGACTGCACGCGGAATAGAGTACCTATAATAGAGTATCGTCATAAGACCGGAAGGACGCCATTGCTGGGCGCCAGCCGGAAACAGCACAATAACGAGCGCGCTTGTTTTTGTACTACGATCATGAAACAGTTGCTCACACCAACTTCACAGATTCATTAACACATCGAAGCGTCCAGAAATGGCGGCGACCAATCACGAGACCGTGATTACCCCTCATGACGATACTCTATTATAGGTACTCTAACGCGGAGCGGTGAGGGGGACAGTGCAATTTTCGGTTGATTTTGGATCGCCTCCATCTAACTTTCGCTGTCCCCTCACAACAACGCACCGCGCATAATATATTATCACGAAAAGTAACTGTTTTAGATTTATTTAATAATTTTGTTTTATAATATGCGATCGCGTTAACGAATAAAAAATAAATATGTTCTAAAATTGACGAAATATTTTAATTTTTTTTTCGGAGGGGCTGCGCTCCATGCATCACCTCATAAGTCGCACTCGCTTCGCTCGTGCACTTGCGCTCGCGCAATAAACAACTAATCCCCACTCGTTATACAATGTACTATTTCTGACTTCTGCGGCGTATTTTCCGGAATCTTCTTATTTTTAACTGAAGTGTAGAAAGCATTTTATTATTAATTTTTCGACGTTTTCGTGGTTCAGCAACATAACGACCGAAATCCGACATCATTGACTATACTATAAAGTTGTAATTCCAGTGCTATCATTTGTGCTATTTTTTCTGTTAGTTGTGTTGCTCGCGTTGAATTTTTAGTTAAATATTGTTCTGATTGCTACTGTGTGACGGTTATCCCATCATTGAATTTGTAATTATTCTTTTATTATGTTTTGAAGTTAAATGTCGTAAAAGGCAACTCATATTACTATATTTTGTTTGAAATTCTCGATCACAAATAGAACATTTTGCTTTACGTTGATTTATTTTTATAAAATGCTGCCAAACAAAACTTTGCAATTCAGACTTTAAGTTTTTACGATGTAATTTAAGAATAAAATATTTTTTGTTTCATTTTTGTTTATTTGTTCTTATTTTATTCTAGAGATAAATTTTGTATGTGATAAGTTAGAAATATGTTTTCTATTCAGAGATATAAGACGAAGTTCCAAATCCCGGTGGAGTCTAGCCGAGAAAGTAATTAAAAACTGTTAGATAAGGCGAGCTGGGTTAAAGGAATGACAAATGCTGAAACGAATGACAGTTGATTTAGATATACCATTGTCTTTATTTCTGAAAGATTGATTGAAAAGTCTTGTCGCTTGCGTAATATTAAAATGGATACGATCACCTTAGCTTAGGTAATGCTAATGCCGCGGCGCGGCGGTTCCGTACTTTCAACTCTCATAACTTAAAAAGTACTAATTAAAAAGATGCTTTATTATTGTGTTTTGGAAAGCTCCTGACCTTAGCTATTAGATATTAGAATCAAAAATAGGGTGTTTCGTTTAAAAAAATCGATTTGACCTTAACTTGACCTTGGTGGCATCATCCAAGGTCAAATTGATATGGTCAGTCAATAGATCATTTTCAACTCTACATCTTTTGTATAAAACATTTTTCTCAAAAATGATTATTTGTCAAGATATTTAAGGGATCCGGAACTTTTTATACACCCTATATAACAGAATAGCGTGTCCAATCGTATGCAAAGTAGCAATAAAAGTAACTGTAAATTTCGTTACCGTTATCCAAAAAATGTAACTACGTTACCGTTATCAAATAAAGAAAGTAACGCAGTTACCACTAAAGTTACCAAAAAAGTAACTTGTAACTGTAACTTTGTTACAAGTAACGAGTTACTTCCATTCCCTGAGTTTGACATATTATTTATTTAATTGACTCTTATTAGTCCTTTATATTATATAACTGTTAATTTTATATTAACTCTTTGCGGCGTAGTGACACTCCTGAGTGTCACCTTTTTCTGTACACTTTTTTACATTTTTGAAACACTATTTAATTAGTTTTAATGACAAAAAGCATATAAAATGTATTAGAGAACATCCCTTCATAGAAATAAAAAAGAAAACAAAGGTTATTGTTAATTAATTGAACGTTATAAATAAATTAATTTAAAAAAAAAAAGAAAGAAAAATGTATGCCTCAAAGGGTTAAGAATCCTTGTATTCAAAATTTTAATTTCAGGTTCTTGTGAGTCTTGAAGAAGAATAAAACGATACACTTTGAGACTGATAGGTGATGTGCTTAAAAACCCATCTTATTAGCATTCCTTCTTTTATGAGAAAATATTTCAAATTTTATTTTAAATTACAGGTTTTAAATGAAATAGATGAATTAATAAAGGACATTTCAAATATAACAATTAAAAGATACAAGCAACATGTTTGTAGGTAATTATCCTATATTTTGAATATGTCTCTCTTATAGGATGACGTAAAAAAACGAAAATTTATATGTGACGAAGAGAATTCAGAAGATAAAGTACTTGAAGAGGGTGAATGCTCAGGAAATGAGAATGACGGCATTTCTGACGAAGTAATCCCTGATGTATCTATTAATAGCGAAAGTGATGATGAAGAACAAGGTTTATTATTTTTACATTCAATTTTTTTAAATATCGTTTTTACAACATATTTTTTATAATATATTAAAATATACATTTTTTCATATTGGTGTTAATTTCGAAATAATTATATTTAATAATTGCATTTTAAAATTTGAAAGTGGTTTATAAAGTAGTTTTTCAATTATTGCTTTTATAAGAATCTGGAGCACATAAAATCCAAATTTATCAGAAGATTTGAATCATGGAACATCTGTACAACTTAATAAACTCGTACAAAAAGTATTTTTTTTTTATTTATCTTATGGCTATGACTTAAATATAAAAAAAAGACAATTTATTTACAACTTAGTTATATTAATCTTTCGCACGCATGAAATGTTTTATTTGCTGGTTCTGTTTATTCAACCTAAAATACGTTAAGTTAAATTCTAATTTTGTGGTTTATGACTCGTGTTCTGTGTGCTATGTTAAATCCGACTTAACTTTCGCGAATTAGCTACCGAATATGGTTATTTCCGAATGTTGTTCCTTTCTTTGATACATACAAATCTCAAATCAAGAAATCATTTAATTTCAGATTTAGCAAAAAATTATCCACCATGTATGAGAATTATTGTTAAGGAAACAGATTTAATAAAATTAAAACTGGGCTCCCTTTTCCTCGTAACATGTATAGGAGGTACATTAGGCCGAGAAGGAGACCATTCGGTGTTAATACCAGATATAAATATTAGCAAGGTGTGTTAAAATAAGAAAAGTTCAAAATTTCACCTTTTATCACAATGTTCGTGTTATAATTGTATATATTTATAGTATCATGCACGTTTTGTGTACGACGAAACCAAGAAGCAGTATCAAGTAATAGATTTTGGTTCAAGAAATGGTACATTTATAAATGGTAAAAGATTATCAGTAGCTAAGCAAGAATCTGAACCTCATGAAATAATGCATGGGTCAATTATACAAATTGGCGAAACGAAATTATTATGCCATATTCATAATGGAAATGAAACGTGTGGTTATTGTGAACCAGGTCTTATTCAACAAAATTTCAATCTTGATGAGAATAAAACTTCGAAGACGAAACTTCATAAGGAAGAGTTGCGACGTCTAAAGCATAAATTCGGAATTGAAAAGAATAATGTATCTAGTAGTCAATTAGCTTTAGGTTATCAAGACAGAGCGCAAGCTAGGCGACAGCATGTAGGTTCTTCGGATCCTTATGCTAAGACGCAACAAAGTTCTATTCACACGTAAGTATTAGAGCTTCTAATGTAAAAAGAAGAACGCACGCTTATCTGTCTTATATAAATAAACTGACAATTTTCATCAAAACTAATTATAGAAAAAGTATATATATGTATATTTAATAATAGATCAATAACAAAAGATAATAAAGGGTTCAAATTGCTTTCGAAAATGGGTTGGTCTGAAGGTCGCTCATTGGGCAAAGATGGAGATGGAAGGACCGAACCTGTAAGTTTTTTCTTCTTTATTATATTATTATATAATTTATTAAGATTATCACAATATGTGAACACAACATGTGGAATATATGATTATAAAAGATTTAGTTATTTTTAGCACATATACATTTTGAACCTTAAGTAAAATTTTTATTGTTTGAAAGAAAACTCAGGAGAAAAATTAAAAAAAATTTATTATCAACGCGAAAGATTGTGATGAAAAAATATAGCTTAAATATCATGCAATAATACATAGTAATTTGCTAAAGAAGAAATAAAAAATATATCGATAAAGTTGATTGTAAACTTGCATCTGCAACTCAAGACTTCAAATTGTACATACACTTGTGAAATACTTCCAATTAGTGAATATACAGGATGGTCCATTTAATTCATCCACCCTTAACCCCTTGACTGTCAGTGACGCATATATGCGCAGAAAAAAGTCGTGCCATTTTTGTCTCATGACGCATATGTGCGCATTTGAAAAAAAACATGTTTATACTTCATCGATTCTGCTGTAATTTGTTCAATCATGGTTTTTGAGGTCGCTGAATCCGAATTTGCAATCGGATTTTCAAAATTCAAAATGGCGGATCCTATATGGCGGACGCAAGTTTTAAAAATGGTTCGATTTTGACGAAAGTGAGTACCTTGAGATTTTTGAGGTCGCTGAATCCGAATCTGAAATTGGATTTTCAAAATTTAAAATGGCGGATCCAATATGGCGGACACAAATTCGAAAAATGGTTCGATTTTGACGAAAGTGAGTACGCTACTTTTATAGCGCCTTAGCATGAATCGGAGCCATGAGGTTGCCTCTACATTTAAAATTGAAATTTTAAAAATTATATCTCGAACACGGTAAGGGAGGTTGAGCTCATCCAGATTTACGCCCCCGCACTCACTTTTTAAAATAATTTCAACATTTTAACAGTTTTAAAGTTTTTACTAAGAAGACGACCCATGCGCAGTAGTGAAATACAACACTTATGCATGCGCAGTAGTGAAATACGACTTTTCATACGGGTTCGGCCGAGCGCGGGATATAAAAACAAAAAAAAAAGGAAATCCGATTTCAGATTCAGATTCAGCGATCTCAAAAACCCCAAGGTACTCACTTTCATCAAAATCGAACAATTTTTCGAACTTGAGTCATATTGGATCCGCCATTTTGAATTTTAGAAATCCGATTTCAAATTCGGATTCAGCGACCTCCAAAACCATAACACTAAAATTATAGGATAAATCAATGAAAATTTTTTTCCAAGACAAAAATGGCACGAAAAGTTGATTTCCGCCTGACAGCTAAGGGGTTAAGGGGTATGGACAGGGTGAAGGCCTGAAAAATCGGAGTTTCTTTGGAAATTTTTTTTTGAATATAATAAAATCAGGTAATTTTGTTTTTTGGCGTCTTTATTGTATCAATTCTGAGGTACGTAAAAAAATTTTTTTGTCTCGATTACTTATATATAGGCTGCTGTACAAAAGGGTAACCTTGAACAGTTACTTTTGCCTCGTTAACAGCAAATAAAAAAATCTACTCGACCTATTGACTTGGTGTAAATTGCATTTTGTTCAGAAAACTTACCTCTATCGTTGGACGTAGCCTATATATAAGTAATCGAGACAAAAAAAATTTTTTTACGTACCTCAGAATTGATACAATAAAGACGCCATAAAACAAAATTATCTGATTTTATTATATTAAAAAAAAAATTCCCAAAGAACCTCCGATTTTTCAGGCCTTCACCCTGTCCATACCCCTTAACTGTATCTCCTCTTAATTCGCATTGGATCTGCGTGCTCGCTTAAGAGCCCGTCTGGCTGAGTTGATTGTCGCTCTCAGCGTCCCCAACTCATCCAACTACCAAGGCATAGCCTTTTCAAATCGAGGTGTTGTTTTACGTGTGGAGGAGTCATATCGTTACATGCTCTTACTATAAGGTTTTGGATTTTTTTTGCTTCAAGTTTCAAGTTTCTTTCTTTCATTGGAGATAAGCTATGTGTCTGTCAAAATAGCAGCCATTAGACGATCCTCATCCATTTTCTTCAATACCCATCGTCAGGGACGCGGTAGCTTCTTTTTAGGACTTTGCACTTTCGTTTCTTCGAAGATCACCTCTATATATCTATGATCGGAGAGCATCTTGTATGGGAAAACTCGCTATCCATCCACTCTGGATGCAGTCGCAGGGTTTGCGAACATCACGTCCACAATTGACTCACCCTGTTGCCTGACACACGTAGCAATATCCCTTACATTCAGACAACATAATCCAGTAGTCATCGCCCAATTTTCTAGATAGACTAGCACGCAGCGCGCGCTGACGCGCGCGCTTTCTCTATCTTTCATTAATTTTATTAATTAATTGTGCAAATTTGGTCGTTAAAGGGTTAAAAGGGTGGTTTTAACCCCTAAATATCATTTTGGGCCGATATAAAAAAATACGTGTCAAATATTTTTCGATATAGTATATGTATACCAAGTTACAAAAAAATCGGCGAGTGAAAGTTGGGTAGTGTTACTTGTAAGTAAAGTCGAAACGTTCTGCGTAGAATTATAATGTAAAGATTTAAAATTATTTTAGTACTAATTATTAGCTCGTTTAAATAAATATTTGACCTGGTATGCTAATGTAAGAATTTGTTTTATTATTATACGAGCGAAAGTTAATTTATGAATAATCTAGAATTGTTCATTTTAATTATTATTAAGTACATTATGTTGCATATCTTCTATTGAAACTATTCACATATACAGGGTGTTTGATAATTAGCGAAACATATTCTGTACAGGGGGTAAAATGAACTAAACTGAATCAAAAAGTCCTGTATCATTTTGCGATTGCAGTAATAGTTAACGAGATATTAATTTATAAAAATATTTAAATTCGCCCGGCCCATCGTCAAATGCAAACGCGCGGTTGGATAGGCATTGCATTTGACGGTGGGCCGGGCGAATTTAAATATCTTTATAAATTAATATCTCGTTAACTATTACTGCAATCGCAAAATGGTACAGGACTTTTCGACTCAGTATAGTTTGTTCTACACACCCATGAAATATTATGCGGTTATTCTCAGCCACCCTGTATATCTTTTTGGGTATGACTGGCCACGTTAATCCGATTTTATAACGGAACCTGGGCCAACTAAATTAAGAAGAAGAAGAAGATATATATACTCGCTAAAAACGGCGCATAAACGGCTGATGAATTGCGTGTGCATATCGCTACTACATCACCCTTTTTTATATCTTTTCTTTTTAGCCATAATGCACATTTCACACTATTCTCTCTCATCTGTTGAAATGTAAGCTGTTCTCCCGTCTTCGCATTCACCTGCGAGTCGTATTATTGTTAATTAATATATTGCATTTATAATATTTAGTAATATTTTACTTTCACGCTGTTTATACAATATTAACGAATATCTCTACTATCTATCCATGTAGTATAAAGTAATTTTTGTTGTTTGAAAAACGCCCTCCAAATAAAAAATTGAGAGTGCCGTTCTTTTTCCCCCTTGAAATCATGGAACACGTGTTTTAACTATTTTTTGTATCTTTTATATTTTTCGAGATAATCAGCTGGAAAGTTTTTAAATGAACACCCTGTATAAGCAACTAAGATCCATGCTAGACTGTTACAGTCTTTGTATTAGTTATGTTACTACATTGACAGTCTTTAGAATTAAATATTATATTTTTTTATATATTTGTTTTATTTATTATACGTACAATACCTTCAAGTAATCGAATGTATTATTAAAATATATTGAGACTGATTTTAATGTTGATATCACAGATTTTGGTATGTAGATGAACTGACTATTTTTCCAAATCGTATTTTAATATAATTTATTTCCAGTTCGTTTTGAAATATTAGCATTTGCTAATATATTAGCAATTTCCTGACGTGAGGAATTCATTTACTTTTTCAATGCGATAAGTATTTAAGAAATATCTTTGTTCGAAAATTGATATTCGTAAACAACATGACAATTATATCTTGTTTGAGATGAATTATTATTGCTACAAACTTATTAATTTTTAGAAAATTAGAAAATTGAAATAAATGGATAAAATAAGTATTTATTAATTAACGATTGCTCACTGAGCTAATCTTTACACATAAATTCTTTTCTTTCGTCTAAAGCTGTGTTCTAGAAATCATTACTAGCACTGAAATTTTTGTTCAAAATTTTGAAACACAGCCTGAAACGATGCAAAAAAACTTGTTTCGTTTCTGGACTACTTGTAAGATCATTCGAGTAACGTTTATTTTTACGTGCTCTACAATTATTGTCTTATTGTTAGAAAAATTGCCCTAAATACAGTCAAAGAATTATATACCTATACAACATATAAATTCACAACATATTTTATTATAGTTTATCACAAATTTTCCATAAAATCAGGATAAACTTAAAATATGATTTTTATATCGGAAATTACATCTTTGACAATTCACGAAAACTATTATTATTATTCAAGCTATATCTCTTCTTCATGTGCCTTATCTGCTCCCCCGGACGCATATATGTAATACCAAAGAATAGGGAGAAGAAGAATGGAAGGCTCCATATACGGCCCATGTTAAGAAACGACCCTCATTTTAGGCTATAGTACACTGCAGAAATGGCAGATGGCGTACGCAACATGTACCCAACCTAACATAACTGACACGCGCGCGCACACATGCACACACACGTAAAATAAATAACACGTTTTATTGCGTACGACGATGGACCACATGAATGATTAATTCATTAATATTAGGCAAATTTTGGCGTGCCTCTGGTATAGCAAACAAAAGTAACCGTGGTTGAGGCTATCTTTGTCTTCTGATCCCTGAAAACGAAGATAGCTTTAGTCGCGGTTACTTCTGATTGCTATACCAGAGACACGCCAAAATTCGCCTATTTTTACGAATGCTTTCCTTTTAGAAGACACACTTGACACAAACTCATTCTATTTTTATCATTCGTTGAACATCAAGAAGGATAGAACGACGTTTGTGTCGTGTGTGTCCTCTAAAAGGAAAGCGTACTACGTCTCACACCAAAGAAACAACTTTCCAGTATCTTTTGAACCTAGAACCTAACGTTTCATATCTAACATGGCCGACCAAACAGTTAACAGCACATGTGTTAGATGGCGCGCATTTTCGCTGGTCGCAAGCCTTCCATTCTTCTTCTCTCTATTCTTTGATGTAATACTACTATATGGCTAGTGCCTATAAGAGGGAGTGAGAGGAAGCGGTCCCAGAACCACGGTGCGGGCATATATATATTTCCCTCTCTTTCTAAGATTACTTTGAGTGTTGTGCGCATGCGTTGGATTGATCGCATCCGCCAATAGGAAAATAGAGTGCGATCAGTGAGATGACGCGAACAGGTTATGCTCGTTATGCTTATTAGATGTGTGCTGTACACAGGCAAAATAGTCAAGATATGTTATTTATGTGGCAAAAAGCCTAATGCGACTGAAAACATTAGTTTGCACAGGTATGAAATAGGTATTAGTTTGCACTGATTATCATGAAATTTCTGTAAGGGATTGCACTGTATTCTTATATACATAACGGCAATCTTGAAAAAGTTTATTTCATAAAATTAGGATTAATTTATTTATTCCGACAAAACTGACTCTGTTAACTGTAACAAGGTTATATCCTGAAGCGGAATCAATCACTTTTTCCTTCTTCCTTACACATATATGTATATTTATCCTCCTATTTATCATTGATGGAGGGGATGAATCCGACGCATGCGCACAACGTTCAAAGTACACTGAGAAAGAGAGAGAAGTATACTTCCCGCACCGTGGTTCTGGGACATGGACTTCTCTCTCATCTAGCCATATAGTAGTATTACATATATGCCCGGACGTTGGTGATCACTTAGAGGCCTAGAAAACAGAGATACGACATTGCGTCGGTTGGGTTAGGTAACCACCGCCATTTTAATTCAATATAAGTGCTCTTGACCAATAAGCTGATGACAGTTTATGCAAAAGGTAGAAAGATTAGATTAGGTTAGGTTAAGTCCGATATTAAATATTCACACAAATAAGAATACTTACACCATAATAATAGTTTTTTATTGCACTTCGACACTGTATTGTCTAAATTTTTCTCTATATGTATATGTGTGTGCATACGTTATAAAACTATATTAGATGCAATAGTGAATTAAAATGGCTCTCTGATCACGTGATTTAGACAGCCAATCAAGCCATACCATTCAATGACGCATCTCTGTTTCTAGGGCCCGTATTCAGAACGCACTTTTATCGATAAAAGCGCGCTTTTATCTCTGAAATTCTATAGTATACGTGACGTAAACTATAGCATGTTAGCGCGCTAACATCGTTATTAGCGCGTTCTGAATACGGGCCTAGGTCTCTAGTGATCACTTTAGCCATAATTTCCTAGCTATAGTGATAACCTGGAAATAAAATAAATCGATGTGGTTTCTCGTTGCCTTCTTCGGTATACTTTCATATAGAAACCTATAGTTTATAATGCCGAATCCAAATGGCGCTGGTGATTATAGATCATCTTAATCACCAGATGGAGCAATTTTTCGGTTCTTTACACGCGAAAAATCGCGTGTGGGCGTATGTGGGATTGAACTCGGATCTACAGATCGCGAGTCAATCGCACTGAGCGGTGAGCCACTCGACACCATTATGAAGCTATATAATTTCAGGTATTTTAATATCTGAAAAATCAGATAAAAGTTGCTATTTCTGTTACAGTTACCTATCACGTGCAATCACAACAAAGTTGGTCTTGGATCGAAGAGAATGGATATTCCTAACATCGAGTTAAATTCCAATATGGAGAAGAAACAAGCAGTTTGGCGAAAAACACAACAACGTTATAAAGAAATATTGGATTAATTTTTTAACGAATACATAAATTAACTTGTAGGAATAAACTAGTTCAATGAAGATGTCTAATCGCATATTATGAAAGTGATCAAATTTCGTTTTCAAATTAAGATTCCTAAGTATTCAACCAAGAACTCCATGCTGATGGTAGCGACGAATTGGTCGGCGGCCTGGCAAAACTAGTAGTCACGCACAAGTACGAGCTCATGTCCGTGTGCTCATTTTCGGGCCGAAGGCGAGTACACAGACATTGGCTCGTGCCTGTATGTGTGTTACAGCGCCTCACCACGGTAAAAGGCTGAACTATATACTAGGCGTAGAAAAGTGACGTTTTGACGACAAAATTTTTCTTGCGTGCCATTTCGTTAATATTTGTTTATTTGTGAAAATGTGATTTGCCTAGGGTTACCAACCGTACTCTTTAAAGAGTACATGTACTCTTTTCGATGTCGAAAAACAGTGTACTCTTACTTTTCACTTATTGTACTCTTTTTTTAAAAATGAGACAAAATTAAAAAAATTATTATTTAATATTTATAAATTTATACGAAGTTATGCTTGGTTTGTACTAGGTTGTGTTAGGTATTCATATAGTCAGTTCTTATTTGAAGACTGTCTTAAGTAATGTCTTAAGATACGAATGCAATCCTCTAATTGGTTCGTGACACCTAAAGACTGTACATATACATATATACGTTTGATACATAAAAGATTGAGTTTTTTTTTAATTCGAATTAATTTTAATTTTCCAATTTTAATAATGTTATATGCACGAATATAGTCACTAAAACGCAAACAAATATTACTTTTATTATATCAACATATATTTGGATGTTACATTGCACACATGTCATTTTATTGAATCCGGTAATCAAAAGACAAAACCTTCTTCTACATTTCCCTTTTTTTTTTTCTTTTTTTTTTTGGAAAATGTACTCTTTTTCTGCGGTCTTGGGTTGGTAACCCTAGATTTGCCTCGTACTTGTAAAAGTTGGGCAAAAACTACAGTTATCTTGAAATTTTATACGTAAAAACGTATATTTCACTCGGTTTATCAGCTGTTAAACTGCGTGTTTCTGGCCGAATATAGGCTCACTTTACGTGCTCTTTACAACCATTTACTGACTATCAAAGGAGGAAAGGACAGTTTTACAAGTGTATTTAAGCGATCTCGTCATTTACATTTATCCAAATTGTCTTTATTTACTAATAGCACGCAAAAATTAATATGCATTTCTCGCCTATGACGTTACAATTCCAACATCGCGTCTACTCAAAAGCCTTAAAAAAAAGAAAATTTACTATTTATCGTCCTGAATGATAAATATCAAAAAATTTCAAAACAACAATAGTCTAGTATTTACAAAAATGACTGTAACAAAATGCAAAATCGTAGTGTAATTGATGCACTCAGGTAAATCACATTTAAATCTACATTAAAAAGGAAAAGATAAAGGGTAACTCGAGAGTCATCGATAAATATAAATAAGAAGTTATTACATATAAAAAATTAGAAATATAATTATGTTGTATCTCTCGATGCAACAAGATATTTTGGGATTCGGTTCGTCTGATCTGAAGGGTTGGGACCCAAGAGAAGCAAGGATGTAGAACGAAAGTCGTCGAACCATAATAATATATGTATTGCCCCCACCCCCCCAACTTGCGCGCCGAACAATATATTTTACCGTTACAATTCAATATATTTTAGAGAACTCACAACAATATTATCAACAAGATAATTGTACAAATTATATGTATATTATTGCTTCAACTGCTCAAAATAACGAAATGTTAATGAAACTCCGTTCCGTTTTTGCTGAATGGGACGACGGGTAGAGAAAACCATGATGTAAGAAAATAATTATATAATAATTCTTCAATAACAAAAACTCTCGTACAATTCAAAATTAACTTGGAATAGAATAATTTTTGTAATAAATAAGTTTTGCTTGATAAATATCAGCGTTTGCATAAAGTTATCTGCGCCTGACTCTTCTTCTTCTTGGTTAATGACTCCAGCCTCCCTAGATACACAAACGGAGGCAATACGGCCAGATCACGTCTAATTGATTTCCGTCTAATGGGTACGATAGCGGGTGATGCAATGCCCGCGAAAATGGCGTTGCTCGATAGGACACCGGGCGCCTGCGTCTACGGCGTCATCACATCGCAATAACGCGCGTCAGGAGTCCTGTCGTCAAAAAGATGAACAACCGAGACGAGCCCATCCGCGGACACTCATCATTGAGGTTCAATGCTCGGTCGAAGTCGGCAATACTTTTAAAAATATATGGTTAAGAGCACCCGAATCGAAACGCGTCCGCCGCGGTCGGGTGGTTCCTCGGAACTCCTGCGCCTGACTCCTAGTGCCCTTTTTCTTTCCAAGTTAATTAAGTAAGAAAACAAGGTGTACAACCATTCCCGAGGATGCGCAGCGGTTCTGCTCTTCAACCAATCAGAGTTCGCCCTCAAATGCTAAGAAGTGACATGGCTTCTTCCACGTGACCGTGTATCATTGCAGCCATGAAGTAAGAGTAAGGAGACTTAACTGTGTAGACTGAAGGTGGTCACGAAAAATGTTACGTGTACTGCCATGTCCGCCGAACGGAATAACTTGCAACATTTCATCGCCATATTGAATATTTATATGTGTGCAGTATACTTGCGACACGTACGTGTACACCCACGGTAATTAATTCTGTCCCTCGGAAAATTTCACAAAATAAAAAATGACCACCTTTCTATATTAATTGTCACAATCCATGCACGATTAACGTTACGACTGAACCATGAAGGAAGATATAAGGAGACTCCACTCGGTCTCGCCAGTCTACAAGACATGAACCCATTTTAGGTTTCGAGTTCCGTTTCCGATTCTCGACACTCGCAGCGCTCGTGAATTTAGTAGTGCTGCGCATAATGAGTGCGAGTAAGAGAAATGATCATTTCTCTTACTCGCACTCATCAGAATCGGAAGCTGAACTCGAAACCTAAAATGGGTCCACTTTTATTTTACGGAGTGGAGT